AGCAGGGTAATTATCATAAATGCCTAGTGAGTGCTCGTCATATACAAAGCAATGTCCTAATTCCTTTGTATGAATTGATTCATTTAATCATCAACAATTTTATGAGGCTCAGAAAGATTAAGCAACTGTTCAACATAGCCATACATCTAGTAAATCCAGAGCTGGATTTATAGCTGGGCAGTCTGGCACCAGAGCCCCTGTTGTTAGTTAATGTCCAGAGTCTTCAGAAAGACACACAGTTGCAGACCATCCTCAGAGAAGTGGGCCTGAGGCCTGCCTCTGCTTGCCCCTCTTCCTTACGTCCTCAACCTTTATGTAACTGGACCACACAGTCAACTGAAATTAACCTTCCTGAGAAGAAGGATCCATTAGCCCAAACCCCCAAGATACACCGTGAAGGAAGTCCACTTAGTTATCCCTATAACTCATTGCAACCCCTAATGCCGCGGCCATATCATAGGATTTTTCCCAACCCATAATTCTTCTCTCTCCCTGGCCAGCAAGTCAACAAAACGTTCAAAAACCAGTCTCCAAAAATGACTCTTAGCTAAAACTGTTTTTCCACTCCTAGAGGCTCTCCTTTGAGGTGATAAAAAACCCCAATCAGAGATTCATCACCATAAATAATGCATTTCACCAAGAATCAGTAAAGCAAGCAACAGTGCAGCAGAGCCCAGTCATCCCCACCAGCTCATAATTGGGCATTGTGATTAATCCTTTTAACTGCTATCCAGATGAACACCCCATAGCAAGAGTCAGCAATTACTGAGTGTTGAATAGGGTTACAGATTACCAAAAGGTACCCATGCTTTGAGTGGCTGCAGCACCCTGAGTCCCAGAATCTTTACCCATTTTGAGTTTTAAAGGTTCACAGTAATGTAAATGCGGCAAAGGGGTGGAAGATAGAAATCTCAATTTTCAGAAAGCTATGAGTAACTAAAACCTAGAATTCTCAAGAGCTTATTCACGATCACATGGATCAATTCAGCCAACATTTATTAACATTTATTATTACTGTGCATCAGACACGGTGCTAAGAACAGGCGATACCAAAAACAGAGTTCATTATCTAACTGGAGAAACAGACATATAAAAAGCCCCTTATCTTCCAAAAGGAAAAGTGAGGGATGGGTGATAGAAACGTGTAAGAAGGAGCCATCAGTCTCCCTGGGAAGAGAGGATGTGTGGCAGATCTGGGAAGACTGCCCAGAGGAAGTGACATTTGAGCTGGGTCTTGCAGGCTGAGGAAGATATTTTTTCCAGAAAAAAGAAGAGGAAAAGAGCAACACCATTAAAGGGTGCACAACGGTGGTCAGGTATGAAGTCAGTGATCTCTTCAGAGAATTGCATGGGGTGGGTATTAAAGGGCCTTGTAAGATACGGTAGGAAATCAGGCTTTATTCTGTGGCAACAGGGCAACATCCCAAGTTTTTAGACAAGTCTGATCATGAGCAGATTTCTGCTTCTGGAAGCCAATCCAGTACAATAGTGCTGATGAGGCTGGACTACAGAGGAAGACCAACAGTTCAGAGGCACTAACCACAGAGGCAGAGATGAGATGACCAGCTCAGGCACTGGAGTGGGCTGGAAAGGAGAATGGGGCTAGAGGATTTCACACATTTCAGAAGACACAGGAGGTCTCAGATGACACCTGGGGAGCAGGGGAGAAGAAAAGGCCAACAGTGAGGTGGGAAGAGGGAAAGGGGTGAGGCCCTTTGCCAAGGAAGAGAGGCACGTCTAGAACTAACACCACATAGAACTGACACTACTGTGTTTACCATGTGCCAGGGGCTGTCCTGGCATTTCCTGATACCCTATGCCTACCCTATTCCATAAGGACAGTCAACTCAAGTTGACCAAGAAGGAAACTGAGGTCAAAGTGGTTAAAGAGTGCACCCAAGGCCACCCAGTGCCAGCTGTGCCCACCAAGCCTATGACCTTGATACTTCACTTTGTGAAGGGACCTTTGGTGGCAATAAAAGTACTCTTATTCCTCACTTTCTCCATCCTGCCCAAAGGCTGGACTATCTCTCCCTGTCTTTACCTTGTGAGAGAGCACCTCCTCCACCCGCCTGCCTACCCTGCCACTGCATCGCTCCCTTCCAAAGTATTCCTCTCCTCCCACCTCTCATCTACTCCCATTCACACATGGCATCTCTTTAGAAATAGCAAGGGTAGGGCAAAGAGCAACGAATCAGAAGGGGGGGATCTGTTTCAAGGCAGACTTCACTGACAAGATGACTTTCAGGCATTGCTTGACCTCAGCCCTGGCCTCAGCCTCAGGTGTAGGATAAATATAAAATGATGATAAGAAATGAATACTAACCTTCCCTTACCTCACAGGATTACTGTGAGGATGAAATGAGATTCAGAACTTGCAAACAACACCCACAGAAAGCAGGAAAAGTGGCTTCGGGATTAGCTCACACAATTGTCCACCAGACGGTGAGTCCCTCGAGGGCAGAGACCAGTTGGTCCTCATGTTGGAATTTAGAATACTTAGTTATTCCCCCGTACAGAGTCAGTGCTTGATAAAGATGTGTTGAATTAAGAACAAGGACCACTACCACCGTCACCACCACTCACCCACACATACACAGAGGTGGGCTCTTGCCTCTCTCTCTCTCTCCCACCATAAATGCAGGCAAACCCACAATACCCCACTTTTGGAAGTACTGCTCTAGCCCTGGCTTATTCCAAAAACAGCCAGTTCCTGGAGGAAAACCAAGTGTTCGTCACGCTGCCTGGATGCCTCCTCTGGGCACGTTTGACCAAGTCTGGGGTGCCACCACTTCTCAAAGGAAGTTGCCAACAACTGAACCCCCCACCAGGACTCACTCTGCTCCAAGAATCCGCAACTAGGTTTGTTCCCCTCCCCCTCTTTTGTGCCCAGCACAGCGCGTGGCGGTTCTTTTTTTTTTTTTTTTTTTTTTACTTGCTAGAGCTGGGCCGCCTCTACTGCTGTTTTCATTGATGCCTTGAGCAGAGCTGGCATGTGCAACTGCTGAGAAGGGGGGAGCGCGGAGCGGCGGGGGAAGCAAGTAAAAATAGCCTGGCGCTGGTCGCTCTGCCTGCTCCGGACGCCTTTAACCCTCGCTGAGATTGGGAGCCCAGCAGCCGCCACTGCACACTGCGGAACCCGGCAAGGGTCTGCACCTGATTCCGCACAACCGCGGGGGTACAGTGGGAAGGGACCCACAAAAACTTTTTTTTAAGAAAAACAAGCTGGGGGTGGAGGGAGGTGATAAAAGGGGAGGTGCCTTCTTGCTTCCAGAGCTCCAGCCACCTGGCTGCAGGGACTGCTGCGTGCCGCTCGCCCAACACTTTACACAAGCGCGGCCTTGAGACTGAGCTATTTTTAGAAACCTTTTCTGCCGATGGGTTATCCAAGGGCGGAGGGCGAGGGGATTGGTAAGGTTGGCTCTCTGCCGGGAAGCCAGGCGCCTTGCACTAGGATCATCTGAACGTCTGCTGTCAGGTGGGGGGTGGGGAAGAGGAAGTGGTGAGGGGACAGCACGCGTTCCGCCTTTGCCCTAACTCAAGGAGACAGCAGTAGCTACTGAATGCCCCACTGCTTTCAAGACCCAGAGCGTGTATGTTTCGAAATCGACAGCTGCACGCTGCTTCTAGTCTCTCAGAGAATAGAGATGTTTAAAGCGTTGCTGACTACGCTGTGGAGTAGGGGTTAGCTGCAGACTTAAGACCTCCAAAGAAGATCAGGGTCTCTACACCCTCTGGTATTCGGCAACACGGAGGGTCAATCCCCGCGCCACCCCCACCCCCACCCGCCTGCTGCATATGGGTAACCATATGTGAGATGTACGGCAGCCACGCCAGACTCCCAGCTATTAATAGAGCCTGGGAGTTTGCTCTCTGTGTCTTTTTCCTGCCACCGAGTAAGGGATGATCTTCACACACATACCCCACTCCGCCCCCACCTCGGCGCACCGTTTTTCCAGGAAGGTAAGGGGGCAGCCCACGCCGATCCCTTTCGTGACTACAGGTGCCCAGAGTCTACGGAATAGTCCAGTAGTACAGACAGCAAGGGTCAGTGCGAGGCAAGGAAACACAGCCTCTGGGCTTGGGACGCAAAGCCCAGTAGGGCTTTCTGAGGCTCAGGGCCAGCTGGAGAGTCGAGAAAGGGCGGCTATTGGACTGCCGACGGCGGAGGGGCAAGAGCCCAATTTGCGGAGCTAGAACGACCTCCTCTCCTCCTGCGGGACAAGAAGCTGCAGACCCATTTCTCTCTGCAGCCGGCGGAGAGCAGCCCCACCACCCGCGCAGGCTTGGCTGCGGCAAGAGCGGGCGCTGTCCCTGGTGCTGAAAGTGGCCGCGACCAGCGCGCCCTACGCAGGTTTAGCGCCCCCGAGGTGGCTCTAACATCCGAGGATTGCAGACTTCTCCCCAGCTCGGATCTGGGCCAGGGGGTCTTTTGGAGGTGCCCAAGTCCTACCACTGGCTCGGCCCCCGCGGCCAGGAGCTCTCAGCGCTGCTGCGGGGACTGAGAGCTCAGGGACTGACTCGAGCCTGAAGGGTAAATGTGAGGCAGCAGCAGGAGATGGTCAAGGCGCTGCAGGGTACAGACCTGGCCCCAGGATCATCCTCCCCAGCTCTGCACAAAGCCTGGACTGGGAGCCCTAACGGAGCCCAGAGGAGAGGGCAAGGGAGCGCGGCTGCCCAGGGTTTGGGACTTGGGGGGATGGAGAAGGGAGCAGCGGGTGGCAGGAGAGGGTGGTGGGAGTGAGAGCGACTCTTGTGCGTTTTCAAGAGGGAGGGGACCTGAGACATGAACTTCCCCCCCAGCCACCACCACCAACACGTACACACACACACACACACACACACACACGCTCGGCCGGCTGAAGCAAGCGGGATGGAGCTGGGGAAAGTTCGGCACTAGGCGCTGAGCAGCAGCAGCGGTGGCGGCGGCGGCGGAGACAGCGCGGTGGTCCGGGTGGGTGGCGGGGTCGCCGAGAGCCCCGGCTTTCTCGCCTCCTTACCTCGGTGTTCTCAGCAGCGTTCTCCGCCATTTTCCTCCTTAGGAGCAGGCAGCGGGAGGAGTGTTTCATGCCCATAAGAGCCAGCAAGGGTTTGGTGATAGAGATAGTAGAGAAAGAGAGAGAGCTGGTGTAGCTTTAAAAGAGAGAGCGAGAGAATGGGAGAAAAAAATCCAACCCAGCCCCTCTGCTGGAGCGTCAGCCGATACAATCAACCACGGTTGAGTCTTTTCTGCAGTCTCCACTTTGTTTTATTTTCCTCCCTTCTCATCTGCTTCAGATTCCTTCACACAGTTTCAAGTTCTTCTGGCGTCCCCCGACCCCCTCCCGCCCCTCTCCACCCGCGCTGCGGGCTGAGCTGGAGGAAAGCAGCCCCGAAGGCTCCGCGGCGGTGGCGGCAGCGCGGCGGCTCCTCTCCCGGCTGCTCGCAAAGTCCGGCCGGCTGGAGGCAGCCACCAACTCCTCTCAACTTCTGCCGATCGGCTGGGCGAAGCAACACGCTTCCTGCGCGTCTCTCCTAGGGGCTGAGCCGGGTGAGTGGGGGCGGGGTAGGAGGTTCGGCAGAGCAGGCGGCTGCCGGGCGCGGACCGAGGGCCCCCAGCGCCCCCGGGCCCGCCCCCTCCCCCAGTTTCCGAGGGTCTCTTGGCCGCCTCCACTCCCGGGCGCTGCGCACAACTTGCGCTGATGCTGCGGGGACGCGCGGGGGGCTCGGAGAAAGCAGGTGCCGGGGCAAGGCTTCGGTAGGTCTAGACCCAGTTCGCGTCCTCCCAAACTAGGGCGACCTCTGGGCAAGACTGGGCCACGGTTACCTCGCTCCCACCCCAAACCTCCTCACCCCAACTCTCCTGCTCCTAGTCAATGCTTGAATCCTTCGTTGGCGAATTCCTGTTTGGGGAACGGAGGGATCGGTGTCTGGATGGGGGAGGGTCCTTAACTCCTTCAACTCTAGGACCATGTATGGTATATCATTATTGATCCTTTTCTCCCACTCGCCCCGTCCACGGCTCCGGGGACTCTAAGCCCCTGTCAGGATGAGAGGGTGGGGCAAAGGCGGCAGCCAGAGGCGGCTTGGGAAAGAGGGTGGGAGAGAGTGGAATGGATGAGACCAAAGTCGTGCTCCCCTACCCCAGTCTTCCCCGGTAGCCCCCTGCCCACACGTTTCTCTCTCCTCACCCCTCCCCCCTCCCCAGATTTTAAAGTCCCTTTTATGGGAGAAAGGGAGGATGTCGCATACCCATTAGGGTTCTCTTGATCCTTTTTTAAGGGAGTTTGGGCGGCAGCAGGGGGTGTGAATTTTTATACAATGCATTCCTGTCTTCACTTCGAAAGCTCCTGATTCTGTCTTACTGGCCATCTGTCAGGGTGGGAGATAGAACAAAAGGGGGGCACCCCTACTCTGCCTTTCCTGTTGCATCAGGACACTCAGCCCCACTCCTTCAAACAGCTGGACTCTAGAGCTTTCAGCGAACATGTCAAGGACAGGGACCCAAAAGACACTCCTTGAGCATCCTGGCTCTATTCACTTCATCTCTGTACCTAGTGGGGGAAATCGGTCTAAACTCCCTCTTTGCTTTCATCATCACCTTTGACATCCAGGAAGTGTGAGCCTGACTGTCCTCAACTAACCCCAGAGTCCGTTGAAGGAAAGGGCCAGAACAGTACTCAGTACTAAAGATACACCCATCACTTGGTCCACAGAAGGGGAGGATACAGGGCACTAAGTGGAGGTGAGAAGGGAGGGGTAGGGAGAGAAGGGAGGATGAAGGATGAGAGGATGAAAGAAAATGTAGCAAGAAACTTAAAGAATGACTTTTACCCTCTGGAAACCCCTTTTCTTTAAGCATCTTCTCAGAGACAAAAGATCCTGAAATGATCAGATGTCTGATCTCCTACCATAAAGAGGCTCGGTGTGTATACAATGAAAATCAGAGAAGAAAGAATCCTCACGGGTCTTTGGTCCAATCCTCTTCTTTTACAGATAAGGACCCCAAAATCAGAGAGAAGAGGATATTTGTCTGTGGTCCTACAGCAAGCTGAGGACCCGGCTTCCCAGCCTCCGACTTTCGGTCCAACACTCTGCCCCCACCCCATACTGCTTCTGCTTGTGCATCCACTCCGTGACTAACCAGGGAGGAGGGGAACTGAAGCAAGCTCCCACCGAAATAGGCTGCTGCCTGTGCGTGATTATGTTGCTATGAGAACCTCAGTGGGTGTGTTTCCTCCGTTCGCTGTTGAAATCTTTTGCTTGGCTTGGCTTCTCCCCAAGCACAGACACGGCTCCCCTTAGAATAGGGAGTGGAGAGGCTGAGATGGAGAACTGTATTTTCATGGCCAGAGTTTTCCATTCCACCCTGTCCAAACCAGAGCCAGCCTAGGGCTGTGAGTGAGGAACCTAGGCTACCCATGTGGTTCCTTAAGGCTGGGAGGACAAGAGTGAACCATCTCAAGGAACCATACTCCATCCCCCCTTGAGCTATCTTGGAACAGAGAGGTGCTGTCCCTACTGTGCAACCACCTAATTACAAATTCAAAAGCAAAATAATCATTACTTTAAGAGGCTAAGTTTGGGGTGATTTGTTATTCAGTAAGGTATTAGCTGAGTATCCACCGCCTATGATTGTGAAAATTCACGACACATGAAGAGTGCTGGAACCTTTCGCCTTGGGGCCACATGTGGCCTTCTGGATCCTTGACTTCAGCCTCTTGACTTAATCCAAATTTTGTAGAACAAGTCCTTTTATTAAAAGGGGTTCAGCAAAGAAGTATGAAGCTTTTCTTCCATCCTTTGGTGCTTAAAAAAAGAACCCTCTTGAAATCAGAAGGTGACAGCTTCCCCACCCCTGCCTGTAAAATAATTTTCTCACATCCCCACCATTCATATAAACTCAGTCTTTCTCCATTTCTTTCCCATAATTGTATTAGCATAGTCTTTTACCAGATTAATCAGCTTAGTCATTCCACAAAGAACTTAACTGGGCAACTTTTATCAGCGTAACTCATTAAAAGGCACTAGGCTTGACAAGGGGCAACAAGATATTGGACTGACCATTGAGGAGGTCTTAATTTAGCCACCTGTCTTGACATGTATGGAACTTGTATAGAGCTTTGGAAAAGGTTTTGAGAGGAGGCAAGAAGACACATGAGATGACAAGAGGTACTGGAGAGTTCACCAGGGTGTGAATGCAGTGGGTAGTTTGGAACATATATTCTGCCAGGTAAAGACATCCTGAAGACACATTCCATTTGTGTCATTTTTCTTACATCAGATCTTCCATGCCACAAAATATATCAAATTGCACATGTAAATTACTTAATGCTGCCTATCTCATGGCAAGAACACAAACATTATGTTACCATTTGCCAAGCCCTGTCTTAGGCACATGAGTTAAACCTACCACATGACAGAGACTCTTCCAGACTTACATTTGTTTTCATGTAGTTCTTTCGACAACTCTTTGAGGTAGGTACTATTATCCCCACAAAGCAGATAAGAAAACAACAGAGAATTGCTTAAATGGTAGAGTCAGAATTCAAATGATTTCCAATTCTATGCCATAACCCTCAAGAAGTTAACCAGGTTCAGGGAGTAGGACAGTGGTTCTTGACCTTGGCTAAAAAACAGGATCACCTAGGGAGGTTGAAAAACACCACTGGTTTGGTTCTACCCTCAGAGGGTATGATTCAAGAAGGTTTGGGCCCCAGGATTTTTTTAAGTCCCTAATTCTAGTGGATAGTCACAGTTAAAGACAACTGGATAAGGATATTTGGAGATAAAAAAGATCTACAGAGAAAAAAGATTCCCTAAGTGACAAAAACAGGCCTCCAAAACTGTAAAACCCCCTACACTGTATAAAAGTTCATCTCTAACACAGAGGTTCTTGGGGACTGCGGAGTGGAGGGCAGCTGTGTTGATGGCTGAACTAGTTAGTGCACAAAGGTTAGAATGAGAGTCTTGGGGAGGGCTATAATTGGAAATGTTATCCAGCTTTATGAGATGCCATAGAAGAAATGAGTTTTCTATCACTGAAAGGGTTCAGTTACACTAATTATTTGGCAAAAATGTTGTAGAGAGCTGCAAACACTAGAAAGTTGAGCAAGGCCTCTGAGGTTCTACCCACCTGGTGCTGGGACCCTGTTATTCTCTCTCCTTTCATCTGTGAACCCATGCTGCAACCCCAGAAGGTGAAGACTGTGTCGTCTCTGAGGCCAACCAACACTTCCTTTGCTGCTTCCCAAATCCAATGCCCCTGGAATCAGGATGCAGCATTTCTAACATGCAGACCGTGCTGCCTGGGAAAGCCCCGGCTCTGACTTGTTCCGGTGTGATTGCTGCAATGAGGGGAGACGAAGAAGGTGTGTCATGTGCTTTGCTCTTCCTCCCAGGTGACCTCATACATGGCCAGAGTTCACATGTGGCTATGGCATACCGCACTGTATCCACAGCTCCTTGAGAATCAGGCTGCAGTCATGATCCATCACCACGTCTTGACAGGTAATCCAGCAGTGTTCTTCTGGACCAGATGGGAGCCAAGCCGAGGCTGCAGTAGCCAGCTACCTGGCTGAGCATCCAGGCAGCCCCACACCTGAATATTTCTCCTGTACAAAAGCTTTTGCATTTGAACAAGCTTTTGTCCTATTCCTCCCTAACCCAAGGCTCAATATTTCGTAAACTATATTCCAAACAACAACTTGCTTACAGAGTCATCAGTGCCTGCAAGGCATTTTGAGAGTTTTTGTTTTGGTTTGTTTTTGCCATTAAAACCAGAATGTTATTTCTTTCTTGCTCTGCTAATGTCTGATTAAATGAATTCATTGTGGTTTTGTGCTGGATGTGATGCTATTTCATTTGTTTATTTATTCTAACAATATTTGGGAGAAATTTCCTTAGTAGTTCTGCATTAATAGCTTAATCCCTCGTGGTTTATTCTCCCAAAAAATTGAATATTCTTGTTACCTACTTTTCTTTAAGGATAAGAACAACCCAAAGACATACAGACATTTTCTCAGTGTCCTATAAGGGAACCTAGACTTCTTTGGAGAAGAGAGAAAATGGATTCAGTAGAAGATCCCTAAAGGTTCTAAAATATTCTAAAACGCTGCCGCAACACGATTAGCTTTTTCTACTTGGTGGAGGTCGTACACGTCATTTTTCTCCTTTTCTAATCTTTCATAAAGGCTTACCTTTTCATGGAAAATCTCTCCTGAATCCCCCCACCCCAAACCAGCTGGAAATCATTCAGCCCATCTAGTGTAATAACTCAGCTAGAAATCATTCAGTCTATCTAGTATTTCAACTCAATATATTTCCCCCCCTATAAAGCTTTACATAGCAATGACTGTGGGCCAGGCATGTGCTAGACATTCTGGACTAAAAGATGCATTGGGGAAATGACTAATGTGATAAGGGCGATAGTAGATTCAGATACTATCAGGAGTCTTATGAATTTATTCTGATAGGTTAAATATAACTATAATCAATGACTTATAGTCAGGTGCACCTTGTAAGAAGTATCTATTCAATGTGGACAGGGAGACCCTGGAGGCTATAAGGCCTGGACCAGAAGCATTGTAGCCTACAGTATGGATTTGGACACGTTCTTTATCAACATAGCAAAATTCTGACATGCTCTGAGACTTTTACAGATGAGAAGTTTCTCAGCCTTGACTCTCCAAGTGCACTATTTATTGTTATCACATGGGACACAACACACTGTGGCCTACCCTAGCACGGGGCTGACCTCTTGTGCTTCAGGGGTAGCACCACCTGAAAGTGCACAAGGAATGGAGGTGGCTGAACCAAGTTGTCGTTCATTCCGATTCCTTTCTAGACAACCACTCTGATCTCTT